ATATGTTCTTCAATTGTAGGAATGCGACCCTTGCTTTGCCGATCCTCGCCTTTACGTCTGCATCTGAACCTCCTTGTTCATCGATGATGCTTCCCAGGTATGTGAAGGACTCTACATCTTCCAGAGTTTCGCCATCAAGAGTGATTGGATTGCTGTTCTCCGCCTTGAATTTGAGGACCTTGGTTTTCCCTTTGTGTATGCTGAGGCCTACTGATGCAGAGACTGCTGCTACACTGGCTGTCTTCATCTGCATCTGTTCGTGTGTACGTGATAGGAGGGCTAGGTCGTCTGCGAAGTCCAAATCGTCTAATTGATTCTGAGCTGTCCATTGTATTCCGTGTTTTCCTTCAGATGTCGAGGTCTTCATAATCCAGTCGACCACCAGAAGAAAGAGGAAGGGAGAGAGTAAACAGCCTTGTCTGACTCCAGTCCTTACTTGGAATGCATCTGTCAGCTGTCCTCCATGCACTACTTTGCACTGTAGTCCGTCGTATGAGTTCCGGATAATGTTGACAATCTTCTCAGGAACTCCGTAGTGTCGAAGAAGTTTCCATAATGTCCTCCTATCTACACTGTCGAATGCCTTTTCATAATCAATGAAGTTGATGTATAGTGATGAGTTCCACTCAACTGATTGTTCGACGATGATCCGTAGTGTTGCAATTTGGTCTGTGCACGACCGATCCTTACGGAATCCAGCTTGTTGATCTCGAAGTTGGGCGTCTACTGCATCCTTCATCCGGTTCAGCAACACTCTGTTGAAGACTTTCCCTGGTATTGACAGTAGTGTAATGCCTCTGTAGTTTTCACATTTGCTCAGATCTCCTTTCTTTGGAATCTTGACGAGGTGTCCTTCTTTCCAGTCCATTGGCACTTGTTCCTCCTCCCAAATCTTTTTGAATAGAAGGTACAGCATGCTTGTGGTTGCTTCGATGTCTGATTTCAGTGCTTCAGCTGGTATGTTGTCGGGTCCTGCTGCTTTCCCGTTCTTGATTTGTCTGACGGCCATTCTAATTTCTTCCGTCGTTGGTGGGTTGACATCTATAGGAAGATCTATGTGTGCTGCTTCGATGTCCGGTGGATTCATTGGAGCCGGCCTATTCAGGAGTTCCTCGAAGTATTCTACCCATCTGTTACGCTGTTGTTGAATTTCGGTGATTGGCTTGCCTTCTTTGTCTTTGACCGGCCTCTCTGGTTTACTGTATTTCCCTGCTAGTTTCTTCGTTGTATCGTGAAGCTGTTTCATATTTCCTTCTCTAGCAGCTTTTTCTGCCGTCGTTGCTAGTTCTTCCACGTATTTCTTCTTGTCGGCTCTAATGCTCCTCTTCACTTGTTTGTTTGCTTCTATGTATTCAGCTTGTGCTTGGACTTTCTCTGCTCGTGTTCGGCTGTTGTTAATTGCTGCCTTCTTGTTCTTCCTTTCTTTGATCTTGTCCAGTGTTTCTATAGAGATCCATTCCTTATGATGGTGTTTCTTTAGGCCCAGAACCTCTTGACACGTTGAAGTTAATGCTTCCTTGATGCCTTTCCAGTTGTCCTCCATACTAGTTTCTTCTTCCTTCAGTAGATCTTGTAAGGCTTGGAACCTGTTGTTGAGAGCTATCTTGAATTCATTGAGTTTGTCAGTATCTCGAAGGAAGGCTGTATTGAACCTTTGTAGTGCTGTTTGTCCACTTGTCCAGTTCTTTTTTAGCTTCAGTTTTAAATTGGCTACAACTAGGTGGTGATCTGAAGCTACGTCAGCACCTCTCCTGGTTCTCACATCTTCCATTGTCCTTCGGAATTTTTTGTTGATGCAAATATGATCTATTTGGTTCTCTGTAGTGTGGTCCGGTGAGATCCATGTAGCCTTGTGTATACGCTTGTGTGGAAATATTGTGCCTCCTATGACCAATTTGTTGAATGCACACAAATTTGCAAATCTTTCTCCATTTTCGTTTCTTTCTCCCAGTCCATGTCGTCCCATAATATCTTCATATCCAGTGTTGTCTATTCCGACTTTGGCATTTAGATCTCCCATCAGAATAGTTAGGTCCTTTCTTCGGCATTTCTCAATGATTGACTGCAGCCGCTCGTAGAACTGATCTTTAATGTCGTCGTTGCTATCATTGGTGGGTGCATAACATTGGATAATATTCATTAAGATCCCCTCCTTCTTTGTTTTGAATGATGCTTTGATGATTCTGGATCCGTGAGACTCCCATCCTACAAGTGCATTTCGTGCTACTTTGGACAGCATAAGAGCGACTCCCTGAGTGTGTGGAGCATTGTCCTCCTCGTGACCGGAGTATAGCAGCATCTCTCCCGTAGCTAGCCTTTTCTGTCCAGCTTGGGTCCAGTGGGTTTCGCTGATTCCCAGTACTGCTAAGTTGTATCTCCTCATTTCCATTGCTATTTGACTGGTCTTCCCGGTTTCCCACATTGTTCGAACGTTCCATGTACCTATAAAAATTTTTGCTCTGGTTGTTAGAAGGGGCATCGGCCTCGTGGCTTCCGAAGGAACTCGGCTTTCACCATGAAGCGTCATAATTCTTCTAACTGAAGACCTTCTAACTCCCAGGGCAGAGTTTAAATGGTTTGGATTATTTTTTCTGGTAAGCGTTTTTTTAGCGAGTTAGTTTTCTACGGGATGGGGACGCTAACCCCATGCCCAACCCTCCTCCTTTATCCGGGCTTGGGACCGGCAGTAACCCTGTTAGAGCTACAGGCGGAGTTTGTATGTAGTAAACGAAATATTAAATAATTTCTCATGTTAATAGTAGGCAAAAGAATGCTAATTTTGTAGCCATAATTAAACCTGTGAGTTTACGCTACCAGAGTCTATGGTGCTATGTGAAATGTGAATAGTGTACAAAGGCAGTGTAGAAATTTTTACTCAATTAAAACTTGCAGTTATGTCGGCAAACACTTATGGAGCAATATGAAAAGAAAGTATACAGTAAATGGTAATTTAAGGGCAAACTTTTTACAAAGCATAATAAAGGCGTGTACAGATATTCAATAATACACTTGAATTTAATTTAGCTTACTTTTTCTTGGGGTTCCCATGCATACTTATTTACTTCATCTCTTGTATCGTATGAGAAAGCCTGGATCACCACATCCATCACCTGTGTAATTTCGTTTTCTGGACAAATTGTGCCTTTGAGCTGTGAACACAGAATGTCCAACGAATGATCCCTGGCAATTTCGCCTCCTTAAATTTCATAAACAACTGTCGCAACTTATGAAATGATGACGGAATTTTTGTTCTTATAATTTAGCTACTGGAGTATGGCTTGTATATGTAGGCCAATAATAATGCTGCAGCTCTAACAACTTTGACCGTAAGTTTTGGCAGAGAACTGTAGATTTGACTGGTTTGATACCAGTTTCCAGCGTAGAAAACTACGGTTGCGAGGAAAAACCCAATTATCTTCGTGAACGACAGTGTATCGTCTGTTAATTTTGTAGTTACTGTGTGTATTACGACAAAGAATATAAAAGCTTCAAATAGCCTATTAACATAAAAAAAACGTTGCCGACAGTGATGCATTTCAACGCTAAAATGTTGTGAGAAAAACTTCCGCGGGCAGTATTCTGTCTGATGTTCATCAACATATACTCTTCACGATAGTACTGTCACTCTGACTTTCAGTGCAGTAATTTACCATAAAAAACGTTTAAATAACCCTTTATGCTATAGAAATAAATGTTTACACGCGATTATTGACCTCAACGTCTATTTTTAACAACTCCAACCAATACCACGATAACACGTAAAAATCTACGGAGATATATTTTGTGCTATATCCTAACCAAAAACAGTGTGAAACTGATAATGTACAGGGTCAAGTTATAAACAAACTATTTCGAAGGTTGGATAAAACAAATGTATCAAAAACACGGTGAAATTATTGGTATTCGAAGTAACAGCTATTAACCGGTCAAATACTCTCAGTTCTTCCTGTAAAGATACCCTCCAGAGTCTCAGTGGTCGTACAGAAACGACAATCAGATATTAACGATGGATTCATGGTAGAAAAAACTAGTCATTTCTTCAACCATGGAGATGTTGTATATCCTGATGAACCATGGATCGATGTCCTGTTTACATTAGAAAAAGCACTGAGATCTATCTAAACCTAATTCGAAATGCTAGAAATGCTACCCAGATACATCCATCATGTATGATCCTCTAAATCATAAGTCAAGTTCCACTCTTGAATGTTTATTCGACTGTGTGTCCTATATATCTCCGTTTGTGTTGTCCATAAAAAATAGTCCTCAGTTCAACCATTCACATCAGAAGACACAATATGAGAAAATTTTCATAACTGAAGCTTAAGTAAAATTTTCATTTTATTACTTTCAGCTCATCTGTGTTAATATGAGACAATAGAATCTAGACAAATGTATGCTTGTCTTCACATTCAGGTTTTCATCGCTTTTAAGAGTGAAAGGGCCTAAGCTATATGTTTAGGTAAAAATAAACCAAAATAAGCTTAAATGATATAAGCACACCTACTATCTTAATGTGACGTTACATATCTCTTACTTACTTACTCCTGCTACTCATCGTGGGGCAGAGTTGGCCATTCACCAGTATTCTCCATCGAGTACTGTAGCGGACAATCTTTCCCCGTTGTTTCCAGTTGTTAGTCATTCTTTCCACGTCTTCTTCCAATTCCCAACGCAGTGTTGTTTGTTTTTTCCTTTCAGTTTCCCTTCAGGATTCCAAATTAGGGTTTGTCTCGTGATGCAGTTTGATGTTTTCCGCGATGCATATCCCATCCACACCCAGCACCTTCTCCTAATTAAGTTTTCTGCTGGGAGTTGATTTGTTCTCTTCCACAGTATTCTGTTGCTGATGGCATGTGGGACTTATTCCAGTCATAACATTTTCATGATACTTAGAAGCCACATCATTTTTATATTTGAAATTCAATCTAAAAACCAGATGGTCTCGATTGATAAATGCTTTAAGTCCCTGGCTTTGCGTTAGATACTTTAAATGCATTAATAGCAATTTTCATCGTTGAACTCGTTAGGCCGTTACTTATTACCGTTGCCTATAGATGTGTTTTCATTTGCTAGATTATTCGAGGGACAAATACAATTATCACTGACTTTTAGTACATAAAACACTGGAAGTAAACACAATTATCATTTGACTTTGTTTTTCTCTGATGAAATAAATAGACCAGATGCTTCTTTATTAAAGACCGATACACAATTTCAATATGAATTGTCCATTTCTTGCATAAAGACACATGTAAAGTTTATTCCTTCGAAAGTTCAAACCTTAAAATCACGAACGTGTACATTATTCTTGATAAATGTGACCAACAAATTTTAAGAGTTCGAGTTATCGGTAATAATGAAAGTAACTGTGTGCTTTGACGATGTTAAAGTTGTTGTCCCATGTGGAAACGGGAGCATTCTGATTCGAGAGCTAGCTGAAATGGCTCTTTTAAGGTTCCAGAAATCCACTTCCTCTTTGCTTCATGTAAGTTTTCCCTCGATTTAGTAATATGCCAATTTTCTTTTTTCTCGTCGTACGTGCGAAATTTTGTCATTTATTTGGTGTAATAAGTCATCACGAATATCTCTATGTTATTTTGAGTAAAAGTTAAAGTTTGGATTGGTTTTTTTAATAGTATTACCTTTTCGCACGGGGTAAAGGTTTGACTTTAAGGGATTCTTTTTTAATTTAAAATCAGTTATTAATTTTCTAATGTTAAGCTAAATCGAAACCTTGTCTGTAAATCTTTTCAAGGAATCATAATTTTGATCAGTGTATGGGTTTATTTTCTTAAGTCTTTGTGCTGCTAAAATAGATATCTATCCGTCGGTAGAACGTTTGCTCATTGTAGTCAGTAAGCTTAATTCTTAGATCACGTAATAATACGGTGGAAACAGTTAAAGTAATCTGCAGTGTGAAAAAACCATTGTTAAGTCATCAAAGGTTTATTGATTCTGACGAAAGATCACACATTTTAAGAGATCTTACGATTTTTTTAAAGCTATAAGCCCTATTCCTAAAAATGTGTTCTATTACTGACTATGGATATTTGAACCAAAGTATTCAGCATAGGACTGTTGTTTAGCAAATCCGTATCACTATCGGTCTTTAAGTAAAGTTTTAGTAAGTTTTGTTAGACCGAACATACTGCAAACTAAAATTACCTCTCTTGACCTTACAGTACGTTCGACTTCAAAGTTTACAGAAAGTTCTGATAAGTCTGTAATTACTAAAGTGACTATGATTAGTACAAAAAGTAGCATCGTTGGTTATTTCTCCAAATAGAAGTATGGCTGAAAGATCATTGTATCTGTTCATGTCTGACCATATTCTTTAAAAAGTTACTGTCCTTTACTGTGTGTAAAACGTATTTTAAAGACTATCTAATGAATCTTAATGCTTAATACATCAATTTAGTAAACGTGTCCTGTCATGAAATATGATCAGAGAGCTTTTTATTTTTATTCTTGCATATACTGTGCATGAATTCGTGCTAATAATGTCGTTTAATCGCAAAGTAAATACTATAATGATTGTTTTGCAATTTGAGTACTTAGATAACACTAAGTGTTTATGAATATGTCAATACATTTGAATACTTCTAATTTACTTATAATGCTTCGCGATTCGTTTCCATGCAAAATAAGTGTTCTTATTTAAAGTCGGTCATAAAATAAAATATTTTTTCCTTTCTAACAAGTTATTCCATTTCCAATCGGCCCGAATAAAAATGTTCCGTGACTGATATTATTTACAAGATTTTGGTATTTGTAAGCCTACATTAATCTATGTATCGGTTTTAGTGTTAGTAATGAAAACAATCAAAACGTTATTTAAAAAATAATGTGTTTTCAACATTAAAGGTAACTTGATTGTGACCAAGAACTTTTGCTTGTCTGCATTTTACGTGAAAGTAATGCCAAAGACAGAGCTTTACTACATGATTTATCACTCAACTAAATGAACTGAGGGATTATTCCGTATAAATATTTAGTCAAAAATGTGGTCTAATAACGGAGCAAATTTCAGTCAGTCACAACGTACAACCAGGCACATATAGGTATCACTCCAAATTGCTACACCTTATTAGCTCAATAAGATGAACACTAAATTCATAGTAGTTACTTCAATGGTAGTAGCATATAAAACAGAGATTGCATACAAAGATATAATACAGAAAGAACGATTTAGTTCTTAGAAAGAAGGGTATAATTTAGTTTTAATCCAATGGTTTAAGCAAAAACAAAGAGTGTATACATCTATACCTTTGTGGTCCATTCTGTGGCATGTCACCCAGAGTCTCCAACCACTGGTTGTGATAGTCGCGCAGACCCTAAGTAGTCGGCATCTATCAACGTGGCTAAGAAGTTAGTGACTCCAAGGAATGGTGTCACGTTTTTGGTTTGGCCGCCCCTAACTTTCTTCCAACCATCCCCAACACTAATCAGAATTGCGCGTCGTGGTAATCGGCGCTCAGGCATATGTAAAACGTGGCCCAACCATCTAAGTCGAGGAAGATTCACAACATCATCAACTGATTAACCGTCATTCCTTAATACCCTGCGTCTAACTTCACTATTACTTACCCGGCGATCCCAGCGGATGCTAGTAATATTTCTAAGAAGTCTGTGTCAATTTACAACGATATTGAGTCGCCTTATAAATAATCGTAGTAGATTTGTCCAAAAGTTTGATACAGGTTCATGAGACATCAGTAGAATACTATGTTTGTCGTGCTGATGTTTTACAAGCTGTCTGAAACGTTTTTTGATTATGAGAATCATTCCACAAAAAAGCTAATAAATGTTATTAAGAACGACAAGATGTGCCATGAAGTGCTCTTAAGTACAATGTCGAGTCACCTAAACTGGTGACCACATTGCAACTTAGTCGATAGGATTAGATCTGCACTAAGAAGGACCTGACATACATGACATTGGTCACCACTCAGTGGTCGTTCAATCGTAAATCCATCTCAGTTCTACAGGAGGCCAGTCGCGGCCCTGATGGCTCAGTGGTAACTTCTCTGATTGTGGGTCTGGGTGACACGGGGTCGGATCCGTTAAGGAGCATCAGTTCCCTTAAGATTACAGGTACCACTTGCTGACGAATGCCAAATAGCACGAAACCTAGGTCGAGGGCTTCCTGTTGACTACCTCCAACCACAATCTTAGCTCTTAAGTACAAGAACTAAACTGTATGGATAGGCTTTGTATATAGCCAATTGTATCAAAAAGATCAGGGATGTTTTAATCAAACTGTTTCAATAATTCATGAAATTATTGACGATTAGTCCTGAATTCTGTCAGGAGGTTCAAACCTTCAAATGAACTTTTTAAAAGCATCATGAACTGGTAATTTGAGAATGTAAATAACAACTCGAAGTCAACCATAGTCGGACGGACACGTCTGTCACTCTTGCTTTCAAAGGAATCATAGGTAACTGGTTATTTAAACTACTGAACATGGGTTTAATTTGTTGTCTCTTTTTTCGGGAGATGCTATCAATGACTTTTTCAAACTACGAGTATAAAAATAGTCATCAAATAATAATTATATTTGATGTGATATTACGCTTCCTATGGCTTGCCTTTAAAATAAATGGTTGAGTTAAATAGAGAAGAACTCTCATTTTATCACATTCTCGAGGTGTCAGGCGAATGTTTAATGGGTTAACTTTTACTTTTTATTCATACAGTCAGTATAAAGACACAACTTAGTCTATACTATTAAATTCATCATCCTAATCGCAATATCATCGTTTTTTGAACATAACAGATGGTTTTAATACCCCAGCTGATTTAGTCTCTTTTTGTGTTTAAATACAACGACTACTTGGATAGGCTTGTAATAAAGTGTGTTTTTCCTTTTTAAAAACAAACTGATGTACACTGTTTCGTGTGCATAAATAATTATATGATTATCATTATTACTACGCAATACAATTCATTATCTGAAATATCCAAAACTAAACTGGAACAAAACTATAAATGAACAGTTGTTATTTATTGTACAAATATAAATAACACATATCAACAGATAAATTCCCACTTTTAGAGAGTACTGATTGTGGAAAGTATGAGATAATATACATTTTCTTTCTTTTTTATTAATGTACACGTTTATTTAATAAATAATGAACACAGCTGTTGTGAAAGTGCACTTTTGTTTAACGGCTACTAATTTCATATATCATAAACGAACTGTCTAGTCAAATAGCAGCAATTTACCTATTCATTAGTGTTTTCCCTTAGGCTTAGTATTCTTAGACAATATTAACTGATTTATGTATTATGTAAGTAATAGTGTTGAATGACATTGTGATGAGAATTTACTTGAGAGTGGAAAAACATTCTTAAGTGGCTAATGAAAGTGATGGATCTGAACGCTGTAAACTGAAACTTGAAAAATGTTTCTCGTAAAAACTGCAAGAAAATAAACTGTCTGTTGAAAATGTCTAAGCATCAGTTTTATTGTGTTGTCATCCAACTTTGTTACTGTTGTACATGTTTCTAAAACACGAAAACTAAGATTGAGCGCGAAGCTTTAATGAGCAAAGAGATCAGTCTATGAGGCCACTGGGAAGATACTGACTTATGGTCGAGAACTAGAAAATAATTGCAAAATATGGTTGCAGTCTATTAGAGACGTGACTTAGAATCTATCACAATGTCAAATATATATTCTTCATCTTCTAAACTTTGAGTTTTAACCCTCGATTTCATCTGCTTTTTTAAACTATGTTTCCAACGTTTCGTTTTCAATTATTGTTGGCACTACCATTATTTTGACTTCTTCCCTTCTTGACTCTGATTTCTCATCATTATGTTAAAATGAAATGTAGTAGCTTGGAGGAATGAATATTTGAGTGAGGTCTTAACGTGTTTGTAGCTAAATGATTAACTCGAATCATTTTTCAAATAGGTAGTCAGAGAATAACATGTTATGTGACACAAGAGTAGGTAAGTAATTAAGTAGGATTAGAATGCAAAGGCAGTATCAGTAAAGAACCTCATTAAAAGTAAGTTAATGCGAAAAATATAAACGTGTTCACTGCACTGTTTGAAAATGTCACTTTACCAAAATTCCTAAGCGTCAGCTATCTAATCCACATGAGTCAAACATCAATATAGTGAGTTTGTGGAGTTCGTTGACGGTTGGTGAAATCACAACCTGAAATAAGTTGGGCAATCGAGGAGGAATTGAACGACTGTTTCATCATAGTATCCGGTTTCTCAGTAGTGTGCATTCATGACCTTACCACAGATGCTCGAGTCCAGGACCTGATAAGCGCATAATCGTTCGATCACTGAGCTGGCATCCATGAGTGATCATGTTTAACTTCAAGTAATCCAAAATATTACGGTCATATTTCACTAGCTACGGTGGGTAGCTTCCCCACACTCAACACTGATGAACTCCACTGATCACAGTTTTTCATGAAACAGCTGTCCGGTATTTTATAGATTCAGCGTTTATTTAAA